AAAAAAAAAAAAAAAAAAAAAAAAAAAAAAAAAAAAAAAAAAAAAAAAAAAAAAATGGGAAAAAACAACAACATAAAATGAAAAACCAAATTGTACACTTGAACAAAATTCTATTATATTTTAAACAAGTATGAATTAATTATAGCGCCCCTTAACATTTTTCAAAAAATTTACGAAAAATTGGCAAACGTTTTCGAACACAAAAAAAGTGATTTAAAGCTTCATAAAATATTCGAAATACGAAATTCCAAGTCTTAATTTGAAGCACATACTCAAGATTAATGCTGGAATCGCACTTCTGACGTAAATGGGTTTTTATTCCCCAATGGTATATACATTCATTATAAATGATGTATTTTTTATTTATTGAAACACATTAGGAAACATTTGCACTACAAATTTTTAATGTGCCTCGAACATATTTTTATACTCATTCCGTTTTGTGTTTGCCTGTTTTTTATGGCCTATTTTTTGATTCAATTAATTTGATAGCGCTTGAGAAACTTTTATCTGATCTTTTTGGGCATACAAATGTAAAATATTCCATAATAAACTGAGAAATGTTTATTGAGAACTTTTTTTATGTATGCACATACATACATATATTTATACAAATTTGTATGTAGGAATTTGTAATATTACGAAAGGCTCTTTACTTTCAAGGTTTGGCAGTTAATAGAATTAGCAGTATTATAAATTGAATCCAAGGGAATTTTCTTCCGGCTTCTGTTCGCCAGCTTAAGTAAATGGCATGACAAATAAAGTGGCTTTGACATGCAAGTTTTCAAGGGGTTGAAATGAAGCGAAATTTGTTTTATGCATTTTTGTGCAACGTGTTTTTCGGTTTTTTGCTTGTTTTTGCGCCTGGGGAGCAGACATATCCTGTTCCTGTGTCTGACGTGCGGATTATGCAACATCCTGTTAATCCCTGTCACTTTAAACTTGGCTAAAATACACACACACACATATATATATAGAGGGGGAGAGAGAGAGAAACACACGGCAAGTCCTGCAAATTAGAACCGAACACGAACCCAACTGGGAACATGAAAACCAGCCCAAAATTCCAGCAGAGGGATTTGTAGAGAGAGAGAAAGAGAGAGAGGGAGACACAGACGTTGTGGAGAGGGGAAGCAGGGAGCAGCAGCAGCCTTATGTTGACGACAACATGCAACGACATGTCTACACACACTCGCACACAAATAAACACAAATGCAAATGCAAATACATGCACATGCACACCTTGCAGAAGCGGCAAAGACAGAGCATGCCATCTCACTCCTCGCAACGGTTCTTTGGCAGTTGTATGTGCTGCATGTGTGTGCGACTGTGTGTGTGTTTGCAGTCAATTTAATTTCATGACTGACTGGGCGCATGCAATTTTATTTTCGAAGGACACCAACACACACACACACACGTAGGCACGTAATTAGTCATGCATATTCATATGCTATTCAATCTGGGAAATCTAGGAACCAAATAATGTTGTAAAATAAATTACTTAATTTCCTTTGAGTGAGCATGCCTGTGCGCTGACTTAAGCAACTTAATTGTGATCTTTATTGTAGGACGGTTCCAAACACTATAAATTTACATAAATACATATGCACTGTATGTATACATACATACATATGTATGTGTGTATGCATTTATAATATGCTTTAAGTCAGCTTTAATTTCATCCGCTCATCAATATTGCTGAGAACCTCAAAGGCTTTTGGTATTTTTGGTTAAATTCTAGACTATTGTGCATTCAGCATATGGTCACACTGATATGCATGTTGCTCAGTTTTTGATTAAAGCGCGAGCCGTACGTACGTACACAAATACATGCATGCATATGTATTTACACATAAGTTGTGTATGGATGCAAAGCATAAATCTCGAGTGTTTTACAACTGCTTTGATTGAGATTTCGATGAAGATTTATCGCGTGGTCAAAGTATCCATTCCAAGGTATCAATCACACTCCATTTACTTCAATCGCTGGACTCAAGGCCAAACGCTATATGCACACACGCACGCATAATCACGCATGCACACATACACACATTTGTATATGCACGCACGCAGTAATGTAAGCAGAAGCTAAAAGAGCTTCCCTTAGCTACTGCACTTTGAGAGATAAATTAGAATGTTCTGTAAAGTAAATGCAAAGCCCTCGCGCTAGCCGCAGGTAGCTGCAGACATGTTTGTGTGGGGCAGCAAGAGACAAGTATAAAATGTATTTACATATGTATGTATGTAGTGTGTGAGTGCGTGTATGCTGATGCTGTTGCTAGGCTGTTGTTACTGTGTTTCTTGCTACTGCTGCTTCTGCTGTGGTTGTGTTGTTTATTGGCGATTTTGAATGCATAAAAGAGACAGCCGCAAATGTCGCGTGATGTGCCCGCAGTGATGAATAAGACATGACAAGGCGGGGGAGACGCTCTCAACAGAATTTACATGCGTGTATACATATGTACGTATGTTTGTGTGTGTGTAATTAAATGTGTATGCGGTCGCTTGTCTGTTTCCTTTTCGCTTTCGCTTTTGACTTTTACAATGTAAAGTTTACACAAACCCTTTTCATGCAACACTTGACAAAACACGTTCGTGTGCATGTGTTTGTAAGTCTATATGTGTGTACATATATGTATATATTTATATGCATAGTATATACATACATATGTATACAGATATTCATTTGTGACAAACGCAGCGAAAGACATAAACACAGAAGGAGAGCCGCAAACATGTGCCGTTAATTTCTTAATTACGCGGGTGCGCCTAGTGCGCTCGAGCGAGATAGCAATATCCATTCAGCCGTTGCAATGGATTGGCCCAGGGTGCGAGACGGGGAAGGCGATGGGTGAGCTGAAAGAGTTTCAGCGCTAATTACATGACATCGTAGAGCGAGGCAAGCCAAGTGGTTAATTTGTGCATATTACAAAGCACGGGACAACAGTAAGATATTTAACTGTTTTTTATTTGCATACTACAGGCACCTTAAATAAACACAATCCAACATAAACACGCACACATGCATATGTACACATATTCCATATATGTATGTATGTATTCCTTAATGTAAAAGATAAACAGAAAAGACAGCAAAAGACAGTGGGAGAAAATGTAAATTATGAATTCAAATGAAAAGCTACTGAAGAAGAAAATGTTAATTAAACGAAAAGAAATAATAATGTTGACATTTCCACATTTGTTATCATAGAGAATGTGTTTACCTTCAAATAATTAGGTAGAACATTTATCAAAACATAATGTCGACATTTCGAGCCACTGTGCGTGCGGCTGCTGTGCTCAGCTTTGGCTTTTGTATTTGTATACTTGAGTATTAAAATAACAGCAAAAGAAATAAAAAGCGTGCAGCCAAAGGCAAACGACAGAGAAGACACATAAAGCAAGGCCTGGCGGTCATTGAAATGAGAAGGAGTGAGGTGGAGCAGGAGCGGGTGTTGTTGAGGGAGGGGTAGAGGGAGATGTGGGACAGCAATAGCAATTGCATAGCACAAGCAAAAGCAAACGCAAAAGAAACTGCTGACTAACGAACGAGCGAACAAAACGGATGGGGGACGGACGCGCAATCGTCAGCTGGAAACGATGAGGCCTCTGGCTCATAAAGCGAAACAAGCTGAGCAAAAGAGGGGAAGACAAGCAAAAAAACCCAAAAAAAACACATTACCTAATGGCTGGTTGACTGCTCTAAGCAGATAGGGGAGGAGAGGAGAGGGGCATGGGTTTGCTGCTTAAGCGAACGGCTGATTTTCCAGCTGTTGTTGCCAGGTGATTTCAAGCCACTCCCCCGTCTGCCCCCGCGCCGTGGAAGCATTGAGTGTGTTTGTCGAGCCTGCGCATAAAGTGTGAGTGCAAATTTGAGCTTGCGCAAGCTCTTCGATTGTGTGAGTGTGTGTGAGACAGACAGGAAGAGAGAAGGAGAATGAGTGCGCATGCAAGGCTTTTGCCGGTGGCAGCGCAGACATCAGCTGTTTTTTTTTGTGTGTCTGCTTTATGCTTTATTCTTTCTTGTGGTCTGCCGGTCGAAATAAGGTGACTAAAGTCTTACCTCTTCTTATGCTCTTTATCCTTGCATTGCAGACTGGACGAGTCCGCTAACGGCACCAGCAACTGCAACAGCCGCGGAGGCGAACGTGGCTGACGTGGACGTTGCGAACGCGGACGTTGCGACCGTGGACGTGGACGTGGACGTCGACGTTGATGTTGTGGATGGCCACCCCGCTTCAGTGCTGCACATGCGTCAGCATCAGGCGCTCTACACCCGCCCGCGCCTTTCCTCCTCGTCGTCCGCCTCCTCGACAGGCGTCGGCGTCAAGGCCCCCGTCTGCCCCATAGCGGCCAGCTTCGATATGCTAAACGGAGGCAGTGCAACCGCCGGCTACATGTCGAACGTGTTGCAGGCAGCACCGCAGACAACAGCGCTGCCCGCCTCTCCGCTGCAGTCGACGCCAACCTCACGCCTCGGCGCCATCGACAATCTGGACGATGTCAACGCGGTTGCGGTGCAGGAGCTGTCGCAGCAGCTACAGGCCAAGCTGCGCGACGCCAAGAGCCAGCATCTGGCCTGCACCGAGGTGACGCTGCCCAACAACCTGATGCAGCGCATTGCAGCCGAAATCATTCGCATGTCGGAGCGGGAGCCGTGCGGCGAGAGGGCCTGCACCATATTCATCGAATTCGAGAGCGAGCCGAACAACGTTAGGTAAGCAATTGATAGTCGGTGGCAACAGCAGTAAGCTAACTCTCCTTCTCTTTCATTCCACAGACGTATTGCTTCGTTTAAGGTGGATCCGGATACGGTCTCCATATTTGAGCTTTACCTAACGTTGAAGCAGGACAAGCGCGGCTGGTCCAGCCTGCTGCCTAAGCTGCTCAAGTGAGACTTTTTTGCCTTTAATATCTTATAAACACTTTACTCACTCTCTCTTTCTCTTTCTCTCTCACGCTTTCCCATGTGTAGATATATAACACGCAGCAATACGATTATGATCAGTCCCGATTTTACTTTGACCAAGAACAAACTCTACTCTCCCAGTAGAGGCAGCATCATATGAGGCATATGGAAGGCGTAGATGTCGATGTGGGCGTGTTTCGATGGTGTACTTTGGATGCTGCACTTAAATCATTACACAAATCCCTCCGAATAAGTAAATGAATGTATAAGACGAAGAACAGCGAATGCAACAGCTCCAAAACTTAAAACGCAAACTCACGTCGGCGTCCTTAACAAAACCCATCCAAAAGAAACAAAAACATACAAAACAAAAATTAATAATTTAAAAGAAACAACAAAACCCATAAAGAGGCAAACTTTGGACCACAATTCAACAAATCCTGCAAAACAAAAACAACAAATCAACGCAACACTAGGAGAAATAATAATACTAATAATAATTAAAACAGAAACCCAACAACAAAAACAATTATGTATTTTGAGACCTACAAAATCCTAAAAACAAACAAACACAAAAACAAATCAACTGCAGTTGCAGGCAACTCAAAACTCTTATTGGACTGACTTTTTGGCTTAAAAAAAAAAAAAAAAATTTTTTAAAAAAAAAACCAAAAAAAAAAAAAAAAAAAAAAAAAAATCAAATATTGAAAATATTGTAAACAAAAAAAGGAAAATTGTCACTCAGTGAAAACGGTTGCCGGTTATCCGTTTTTAAAAACAAAAACAAAAAAATGGGAAAACAAAAAACATAAAAAAGGAAAATCTCCCAGAAATGTATAAGAGCAAAAAGAGAGTATTAATCGTATAAGTATATAAATGAGTGTATCAGAGAAAGGATGAATACGAAAATCGAAATATGTACATATATATATGTACATGAAGAGCAACGCTGATATACTTATGGATATGTATGTATGTTTTTCTTCAGGATCTTATTAGGCTATAAAATCTCTATATATAAAACCAATATATATAATAAATATATGGGGGGGAAAACAGAGCAAACAATAAGTAAAAAGAAAAGAGTTGATGCAAAACAACAAAATATATATAAAAAATAATAATAATAAAAAACAAAGTTGATGTGATATTATATAATAATTATGAATATTGAAACACAAACACACACACACACACACACACACACATACTTAAAACATGCAAAATTTGAACATTTGAAAATTTGTTTAAAATATTCTCATGTCTGTTTTTTCTTCAATTTGTCTTAAAAACAATTTTTTTCTTTTTTGATTTCTTCACAAATTTAAACTCCGCGTTTTCTTTTCTTGTGCAGAGTTTCAAACTCTTGCTCTACATTGATATATACAAAATACAGATACATAAATATATATATAAAATATTTATAATATTTGATGTGTTTCTAGCTTAAGATTTTAATATTAAAAAGAAAAACATAAACAAGGCAGAGAATTCAATGTGTGTAGCTGTGTATTTAATTCGTAGTTTAGTTTAAACAATTACATAGAACGAAAACAAACAAGAAAACAAATGGCATTGCATTAAACAATAATATATATGCTTAATATACAGTGGGGCAGCTAAGTGTATTTGTGAGTAAAATTTAAAGAAACGTAAGAGAAGGAAAAACCAATTTGAATGTTAAGCTAAAGAATGGAAGAAATTTGTAAAAGCAAAATGTTTGGGAAAAGAAATCTATAAAGTCATCTGTGTTAATAAATTTTAAAATAATTTATAGCGTAGCGTAAAATACAAATTACAAATTAAAAAATTTATAACTAAAACCAATTCTAAAAGCCGATTTCAAAACTTTTATAGCTGCAAAACAACAAAAAAAAAAGGAAGAAAAACATTTCAAGCCGTAAATCAAGTATTTGACAAATTTAAGCTAAAATACATTTAAATAATTTACATAGAATACACACACACACACACACAAACACGCATGTGCAACAAATAGAATTTATTTATACTTTAATCAATAATAAACACAAAAAAAACACCCAAAAAAGATCTCGCTACATACAAAAATCCTTGCAGCTTGCAGCCTAAAACAAAAAAATACTTAGAAATATAAAAAAGTTAAATTAAACATTTTTAAAACCCAACAAGCAAACAACTAAGACCATAGTTAAAAATATTTCCTCAAAAAATAGAATTCTTATTCCGCAAAAATATACAAAAAATACTGCAAGGATATTTAATTTAAAAATTAAACTAAAAACTCATATTAAAGTAGAAAAAACACACAAATGAAAAATAAAAAAAAAATAAAAAATACGCATTTTCTTTACACTTTGTTTAACATTACGAGCAAATTAAAACTAATAAATATAAAATACACATGTAAATATAAAACAACAAAAACACAAAACGCAATTTCGAAGCGTATTTAATGTATTTAAAGTAAATGAAACAAGTTTAAAACAAATGTGAACATAAAAACTATGCAAGCAAGTGAAAGAAATAGAACCATGAATGTGATCTATTTAATAATTAACAAACAACAAATAGAAAACTAATGCAAAAAAAAAAAAAAAAAAAAAACAGTTGACAAATTTAATTTCCTTTGTTTTTTTTTTTTTTTAAATAGAGTATTAATAAATGTAACAACTTTTAATTTGTAGAGCTAAAAGAAACAAAACAAAAACAAAATAAATGTCTTTTCTTTTTTTGTTAACTTAACGCCAGGCTTAAAAATAATACTTAAAAAAAAAGTAGTACGCAACGCTTTAAATGTTTTTTCTTTTTGTTTTTTGATTTCTACGTTCTTCAATGGATGGATGTATAGGAAAAGCAGAAGAAGAAGATGAAGAATCTTAGACACGTCCAGTGCTCCTCAAAGTATTTGTAAACAATAATGATATATGGTTAAAAAAAAAAGGAATAAAACTAAATACCAAACTATGGATAGAGTTATATATATGTATATGTATGTGTGTAGAATTTTTACATACTCCTATATATATACACGTATATATATATAGATATATATGATAATACGTATGTGTGTGTGTTAAAAGGGAACCAATTAATGCATTCAATGAAAAACAAAAGAAATTTAAACAATAATCAATCAATTAGAAAACGCCTCAAGTAAAAATCGATATATATATATATACATATATATCTAAAGCAAAGAACACGTAAATAAAAATACTAGAAAAATCTTCTTCAAAATATTTTTAGAGCAGAGCACATCAAATACTTAAAAGAGAAACCCAACTCGAAGCCCCTCAAATCACTTCACACATTCCACACACTCATTGTATTAAAACTAAAAACTACAAAATTTAATAATCTTATGTATTTAAGCGATTATCCCACCATGTGATTTAAATACTGAAAAACCTTAATTTCAAAAAACAAAAACAAAAATAATTAATATTATAAAAATATATATTCAAAATTTTTGATGTTGAAATTTGTTTTGGGAAACGAAAAAGAAAAGAAAACGAACATTTTGTTGCAAAGACTCGGATACAATCACAAAAAGTTAAAGATGCCATGGCTAAATCTAAACACTATGCGAGTTTCTCTCAGTGTATTGTCATTTCTTTCTCATCAGACCAAGAAAACACGACGAAGAAGAAGAAAATCTAAACTTAAGTTAACAAAAGTTGATAAGAACTCAATGTTGTAAATCAAGTAGCTATGCATGTATATATATATATATATATATATGTATATATATATACATGGCTAAGTAATGTTTAACAATTTCCATATATTATATCTACAAAAATCAAGTGAAATGCGTTAAGGCCTAAATAAGATGAAGAAGAAAAAGGAAGGAAGACGAAAAAACAAAGCAAATGCAAACAAAACAAAAAACAATATATATTATATATATACAAGTGTGTATGTAAAACAACAACAAATTTAAACTTTAGTAGCGCTTAACAAATTCTAGCAATTTAACAAATTTTAATTAATCAAAATATGACAAAAATATATATACATATATATATATAAACAAAACGAAACAAATGCAAACAAACTGCAATTTCATTTTTCTCTGTGTAAAAGTTGAGTAAAAAAAATAAAAAATGCAAAAAAAAAATAAATTTTTTAAATGTGAAAATCAAACGGTTTCTTATTTGAACGGCATGATAAAAGCTTTTGGTTGCTGTCTCAGCTAAGTTCCCTAAGCAGTGTCACACACTCAGTCAGGCACGCTGCAACCAATAGCAGCTCTCGCTCTAACGCACACTTGCACAACTTTTAGATCCTCTTGAAGCTTTTCAATGAGCCAATCAGCTGAGAGCAAGCAAGCTCGTGTTGCAGCTCGGCTTGAGCCAACTGCTTGTGCGCGCCGCGCAGGCTTCGTCATTCGTTCAATGTTGCTTGGCCGCAGAAGACGCGTTCTCGCTGCACCGTTGCTCAATTCGCCGTGACTCGCGTGTGCCTCTGTTGTTGTTGTCGTCGTCGTCGTAATCATTGCTCTTTCTTATTGGATTTCCGAACGATTGTAACAGACTGAGCTTTTCAAGCGAAAATAATGCTAGTTCTATGATAGGTAGGTGCAATCAGGCTCTATATCATGCCATGTGTATGTGTGTGTGTGTGTATTAGTGTGTGATATGTATGGCAGATAAGCTGAGCTGCTCTTGTCCTTCCAAAATGTCAACGTAATCTCAGAAATCTAGTCTTTTGTTAAGTCTTGTGCATTCACATTCGGTTTCATGTTGCGGCATTTCTTTGAGCCAAGACTAATGAGTGCCTCTCCCTCCCCCTCTCTCGCTCTCTCTCTCTTGCTTTCTGTGTATATGTGTGCGCATAAGTAATTCATATGGATACCAATAAATGAGTCGGAATAGTCGCCTGCTGAGATCGTCTATCTGCACGCGCCCAGCTCCAGCCGCAGCCCCAGCCCCAGCCAGAAGTTGGCTAAAATTAGCTAATCGATGCCAGGCAATCAGCCAGGCTTAACTCCATGCAGGACTCGGCTCAAATCCAATTAGTCAACTTCAAGTAATTGACAATATCGCCCACTAGATAAGTTTCACATTTGCCCAGCTCATAAACAATGGAGCTCAGCTTCAGCTCCACTAATTACATAAAAAATGGAAATTCCATGTGATTGCAATCAAAGTTCTTGACGAAAAAATAAACATTTTGTGAGCTTTTAGATTATCAATTGGTAAGCTATTAATTTAATATCCTTAGTATTACTATCGAAGAGATTCTTAATTATAATGATTATTAATTAATAACAATAATGAGATATAGCTCTCCATAAGCAATTAAGTTTTAAAGGTGCATAAGCTTTTCTAAAACAAAATATCGAATATATACATATGTAATAGATATTATAGATATTATCTATATTTATTAAATAGATTACTATTACATTTTCTGAATATTCTGTTGCAAAATTTAATATTGTAATGAAAAAGTGATTTTGTGTAAAGTGTAGGAAATATTTTAAATATATATACATACATATATGCGTGTATAAATTTTTGTATATTATTAAAGGTTGTAAAAAGATATGCAGGAGTAGCAAGAAAAAAACTAATGTGTTTATCTTAAATTCTTTTTATAAATTTATGTTTATTATTTATTTATCTTATGGTTTCTTCTAATATTCATTTTATTTACTTCTAAATTTTTTGTATACTATTTTGTAGACTATTTTGCTATATACTTTAGTAATATATGTATGTATTATGTTTATTGTTTATTTATTCATTAATAATAAAAGTGTTTTAGCTTTATTTTTTAATACTTATTTAAGCAAATATTATTTATATACGATTTAAACACAAAAGTTGATGAAACATTTATTTTATTTGTCTGTGATCTATTAGTTTATTTGCTTATACTTTACTTTGAATTCTGTATGTGCGAAGTAATATATTTATAATATAATTATATTTCATATAAATCTTCAAAATTATATTTTTGATTAATAATGGCATTCTCCGATTCAAATATTTTTCCACAAAAAACTCTATCAGAATTATAGCATAGTTATTCTTAAAAGAAAAAAAAGCAGAAAACTGCATTCATAACATTTATGCAATCTGAAGGCTGAAGGAGATCCATATGCAAACAGTTCGTGGAAGCGTAAGCCCAGGCCGAGCAGAAGCTGCCTTCCTGAGTGCTGGTGGCCTCCAGATGCAGTGCAGCGATAGAGAAGAAGAGAAAGAAAGAGAGAGAGAGAGAGAGAGGCTGTTCTGGCGAATAACTTGGCCAACTGCAAGGGGCAGGTCTTTCAACCGGGTCGAGAGTTGAGCTTGAGTTTTGAGCTTGTGCAATTTGAACCGTTCGATTAGCCAAGCGTTGGCCAGGGCTCTACCTAGAAGCGGGTCCCCATGTTGTTTGTTTTCGTTTTTTTTTCCAATTTAACTTCATTTCATTTTATGCTCATTTTGCTGACTGGCGGCGCCTGGCGCAGGTACCGTTGGCCCCCTCTTGGGGCCATGACTCACTTTCTGCATGTTTCTTGGCAACTTTTTTGTTGGCATTGCCTGCTCAATTGCCAATTGCATTCCCAACATATCAATTTGCAATTGAAATTAACACCTGTTTGGCCCCACTTTGCCTTGTTTTCTTTTACTTGTTTTTTAGCACGTGCCCTTAACCCTAGACAGCCTCAGCTCCAGCTCCAGCTCCAGCTCCAGCGGGTGCGGCATGGAGCACAGCAGCAGCAGCAACAACAACAGCAACGAGCCCCCAGCGCTCGAGCCAGCGGAGTCAAGTGCCACGCCCACACCCACGGCCAGCTGCGATGAGCCGCCGCCGCCGCCTCCAACTCTGGCCACGCAAATCACCTCAATCGACGGATTCTTCAACCGCAAACGCGGCAGACCGCCCAAAAATCGATTCGTGGAAGTCTATAAGAGCGTAAGTGAGATATATTTTATATTTAAATTATGAATTGTTTAATTTATATTTAAGTGATGAGATTTTATGTATTCAAATTATTAAATTTAGACTTACATTTGAATTATTTTAATTTTATTTATATATGGGATGATATATTTAAGTAAAATTTACTATAAATTAAATTTAATATTGCATGTTTTAGTAGTTTAATTTTTAAATTTAATTTACGCGTAAGTGATGAGGACTATATATTAAATTTTAATTGTATATTTAAGAGAATATATTTTATATTAAAATTTTATACAATTATTTATAATTTTTTGATATTCAATATTTAAATGAAGATATTTTATATTAAAATTTTATTAATATTTATAATATTTTATGTTAACATTTAAATTACAATTATTTTGTATTTAATTTATGTTTGTTTGATTTTTGCTCATAAGCCTTTTCCACTTATTTAGAGTATGATACATACATATGTATATCGGAATTGCTTTGTATCATTTATATTAGACTATTTATTTTCACCTTATATTATTTATTAATATTTATTTTATTTATACTCTTCATTGTTTATGGCTAGGTGGCTGTCTCTACCTTATCTTTTAGTCTTTTATTTTTCTATTATTTAAAATCATAAAATTATTTATTAGGATTTTCAATATCTAAACACATTTAATTTATTAATTTTATAAGTACATAATTGACATTCAAATGAATTACTGATTAAAAACAGTTATATTAATATTAATTGTATTGTAGATATTGTAAAAAAATCGATTAATATTATTCAATGCATTTGCAGTTTCTTTTTATAGTTTTTATAACTAAAATAAGATTTTAAGCTATTCTTTTTCTGTTTTTGCGTAATAAGAATTTGCTATTATTATCTGTCATGAATTCTATATAACAGATTGATTTAAGATTACTACATATTTATATTTTAAAATTTGTTTTTTTTTTTTTTTATTTATTTTTTTGTTTTATGAGCCTAATCTCCTTGAAAATGGCATGCTATTAATATAATTTGATATAATAGGCAATCTGCAACGCTGCATTCCATCTGATAAGGCAGAAAGTGTTTTAGTTCATATACATATATACATAAATATCTTGGTATATCTATTATACATTTAACTTATATCAATAATTTGTATAGCTTCTATTTTAGTTCATCGTTCTATAAATAGGGTTTCTACTTTGTCTTTCTCTTCGTCTCGATGTTCCTTTTCGGTTTGTCTAGTTCGCGACGCGCCCTAGCTAATGCCAATGCATATTAACACTCTCTCACACACACACACACACTCACACACACACGCACACTTGCACACTCATTGTAATTAGGAATTTGCGCCTATTTGCGTGCTGCGTCGTGTCGCGTCGCGTCGCAATGGGTTATCAGATTGGCAGGGGGAGCGGGGTGGTGGGGTGCTGTCGAGGGTGCCATCAGGCATCGATGGGGCTCCTAATGCGGCATTTTATGTGCCGTGTGTTGAATTGAGTTTTTCGGATTTGGTTTTTGCCATATTCGTCATATTAATATTGACAACGAGTGTTTCCGCATTTATTTCACTTGCCTGTGTCTGTGTCTGCGGCCACGCCTCCCCCGCCACACCGCCCACTAGCGAGACAGTGGAGCTCGTCGAACGTTTTGTGCTTTTAACTGTCATTTTCATAATTTCTACATTTTTGAGCCCAGTTTGTCGGCACACACACACACACACACACACACGCACACGCACACACAGACACACATACATTACTACGATTACACAGCCCACGCGTCAGCCTCTAGTGACGCGGGCCCAGGCAGTGTTTGAGTGCAGAGGGAGTCGAGGGGCAACAGGGGCAGGTGTTGGCCAAGTACACACAATTGTACTTGGGGCTCTCTGTGAGAGCCGTTTATTTTGTCGGTGTGAATCGAATAATTTGAATAAATATTTTGTCCATTGCCTTTTGCGGTATTCTCTTTTTTACTTACTTTTTTTCTTTCTTATTATTTTGATTGTTTTTCGGGAAATATGTTAGCTGACGACGCGATTGGGAACTGAGTGCTACTAGAGACCTACACTTGAGGGCTTCTTGGATAGGGCTAAGGAGAAGAACTATGAGAGGAACTTGAATATAAACATGAATAAGGTTATTGATATTTCGGATATGGTAATATAAGTAGTTGCATATATTGTTATAAAAGTATCTGAGTCTGAGGATGAGCGCTGTTGGAATCTTCAGATTATTATATATAAAGGAAAAACTCATCATAATTTATAGATCTCATTTTAGTAAAGTCGCTTAATAGTACAAATGAATATAGAATATTAGGAGAATCTGAATGCTAAGTATATAGAAGTAAAGACGAAGGAGAGGGTACGAAAAGTAAGGGAGAGCGAGAAACAGTGACCGTTATATAGACAAATAATGGGAGCGGGACAGAGAGAGAGAGAGAGAGATAAAGACGGTTAATAGAAGAAAAAGGGAAATAGTGAGAGAAAGAGAAAGAAATAGAGAGAGAGAGAGAGAGAAGGGGTGAAAGAGACAGAGACAAAGAAATGGAAATAGATATATATATATATATAGAGAGAGAGAGAGAGAGACATTCCAAAAAATATATATTGAGAGTCTCTCTCTATCTTTTCTCTATCTCATATAGAACGAGATGCATACAAAAAGCCTTTCATAGAAAAAGCGACAACAAGTCAGATAGCAACGAAAAGAGTTGTAAAAGAAAGAGTACCCAGAAATAAGAACACCTGGATATGAAATGAAACTGTTAGCTCCAAAAGTAAAGCCTATAATTTCTTGGAAATCAATAAACCAATCTGCAGTATACATTTCTGATACTCTGCTCGTGCCTACACAGTAAAAGAGATCGATCATAATGGCATAATTTTCATTCAATGGATAGGCTGTTGCATTAGTTTCGTGGCGACCCTCTCTGACCGCCATCAGCCGCCCGTCGAATGCGACGATTAAAAGGAACGAAACAACTACAATAACTTCTATATATTGTATTTAATCATATAAGGTGTGTGTACTTATATGAATGGCTCTATATATGCGGGTGTGTATGCGTGTGCTCATACGCTTATCTCTCTCTGTGTGTGCATGTGTGTGTGTTTTATTGTGTGAGTGCGACAACTGATCAGGTAAAGCCAAACACGTTTCATTGTCTTTTTTTTTTTCAATCTTTTGGAGTAATTATTAATTATAGATGCCCTCGAGTCGTAACTATTTTCATATGCTCTATAAAGGTTTAGTTGATTTTATGTGACATAATTTTTAAATATATACATATATACAATATACAATATATATGTTTGATCTATGCGATTCATTTAAAGTATTTTTGATAAATTGTAAAATATTTCGACATTTTCTTCAAGACTTTCGTTGACCATTTGTGGTAAGGGTATTCAAAAGTTGGATTTCCTTTTTGTTTCTGAGTGGTTTCTCTTTTTTTTTATTTGGTTTTTATTTTGTTTATGCGCTTATTTTTTTTTTTATTTTTTTATTATTGATTTTGATGCGTGAACAAAATTTAAATAGTGACATTTTGGGCCAACAATAAACATTAACAGTAATTTCGGAAATAATAAACTGGTTGCGACTGTTTGTCATAAATCCGAAACTATGACAAAAGCAACAAATACAACAACAACAACAACAGTGGCAACAATTATAACAACAACAAAGACAACCTCAAGTACAGCAATGCCAAAGAAATTCAATAAAACACCGCCCACAACTTTCGAGGGGTCTGCAAGAAGAGATTACCAATAATTTAGCAATAGTCGAGACTTACAATATAATCCCTATAAAAATAAATACTTCAAATGATCTCATTGCACTCAAAGTTTAACCAGATCTGAGTTATTTCCGCTATATGAAAAGATTTCTTATGTAACTACTTTATCATAAAAGTAATGGCATTTATTGTCTATCATCTATTCATCTATTATCTGTCTATCTTATCAGACTCAGCAGTCACCTCAGGCCATCTTCACCAGTTTCAAATTGGAAAAAAATGATCCATCCTCTGGCTGCGGCTTGGCAAGTTCCGCAGATGCAGCCGATGAGCGGCCCACTGCCTTGAGGCTTGGGGCTGGCGCTGGCGCCGAGGAATCGACTGCAACAGATCTCACACCTAGTCGTAGCAGAAAGAGAGCCCGCGTTTGGACTGTGGATCTACACAGAAGCTCCGCAAATGTGCGCAGCGCAAGTCCTACTGAAAGAACGAAGTACGCTTCGACGAGGGAGTTACCTAATAGGGATGGATCGCCAGTTCCGGTGAGTGAAACAGAATTTCGTTATTCTCTTAAATAATATATAGAATTATGTTAGACTTTATTTCAGAGTTTATATACATATATAAATAGAGAATCATTTATATATTTTTAAAAATATTTTAAAAGTTTTGTAACGCTTCCAAGACAATTCCTGTGGCAGCTCTATCATTTTTCAGATTTATTTATATATTATTATTATATTTTATTTCGATAGGACGCAACTTTCCCAGTGACATTTTTATTTAGAAAACTTTTATTTTTGCAGAAATAGTGTTTTAAAAGTATTTTTCTAAATTAGCCTATACTAAAGTATATTTTACATATGTATGTATAGGTAAGCATATTCATATATCTATAAGAATAATACTAGGAATTTTAATAGACCTTGACAGCTTGACTGTGAATATAGATCATATCTATGTTTGCGTTTTTAGTAATTATCTGATTAGATGATTAAATCTGAAAAATATATCCTATATTAATATAACATTATTAACGTATGTACATATATAATATTCCTACAATAATTTATTTTTCCGTCATTACAGCTGATGTTTAGTACGCCTAGCACACAGCAAGCTGCAGTCAGCAAGTCCGTGGAAAGAGTTTCTGGTAAGTAGGCCCTATATACTATAAATGATATAGATTTTCTAGAAATATTTCTTCTTTTAGTGGTTCGTGCAGCGGGCACCTTCTATCCAGAGAACGCCAGCTCAGCTCAGGCAGCGGAGCTCTCGGACAACTCCGGCAGATATGGGTCGCTGCCCAGCACAGATTGCAGTGCCGATCAGCCGGAAGATCTGAGCATGCGCACCGGCGCGGCGGTAACAGCGAATGGGCGTGGCGAGCCGGAGACGAAGCTGCTGCAGTTCAAGCAGCTGCTCGACCTGTACCAGCGCCAGGTGCTGCTGCCCAGTTTCCTGGCTGCGGCCAGCCAACCCGCAGCGCTGGACATGCGCATGCTGCTGGAGAATGCGGCGCAGCAGAAGATGCTGCTGATCAATGCGGCGGCAGCGGGCGCCGTAGCAGCAGCAGCGGCCGCCGCAGCAGCCACAGCCACAGCCCCAACGGGCGCAGCGGCAGAGGAGACGTCGCCAACAGCTGCAGCTGCACCAATCGCACCAACGTCCGCTCGCGCTGCTGGTAAGCGGGTCAGGGATCAGGACATACCCACGGGCTACCTCAAGTTCCGCTTCAACGAGGACTGCGGCTTCGAGCGCTGCGGCTATCGCAATCACCAGTCGCACTTCCACTGCAACCGGCGCGACTGCCACTACAGCTTCTGCGACAAGACGCGCTTCGTGCAGCACACGGCGCGGCACGAGCGCATGGACAGCCTCATGGGCGAGGACTTTCGCCAGTACCGCGCGAACATGCGGTGCGGCGTGCCGGACTGTTGCTATGCGACGCAGGCGGCGGCAGCAGGTGCGACAGGTAGGTGGGCAGGCGAATCCTCCGCGCACTCTCACTTCTCCTGCTAATCCGAGAATCTCTTCGTTCACAGACGACAGCCTGGGCTTGGGTGCGCCCAAGAAGTCCTCGCACTTCCATTGCCGTAAGTGCGACTACGTCTGCACCGACTCCAACAAGGTGGTGGCCCATCGACGGCTGCACCTGCGACTGGAGTACGTGCGCTCGGCCGGCTTCCGGAAGATCGCCAGCAACGAGCCCTGCGACTCACCTGGCTGCACCTATGCGCTGCGGCACACGCACTACCACTGCACCACCTGCGATTGCAGCGTCCTCTCGCGCGCTCAGCTCGCCTCGCACCGCCACCGGACACTGGGCCAGGCCGCCAAGCAGCTGGCGGAGGGTGCCGCAGGCTCCAGCTCCGCACTGGACGTCGAGGCATATCCCTAGGCCAGGGGCTCTGCAAAAGCTACAGAAGCCATACAAATCCAAATGCAATATGTAAATTAGATCAAATTAAATGAAGCTAAGTGAAGAGAACTAAAACTTGAAAGAGGAATGAAAACAAAATATAATAAATATTAAAACTAGAAATATATAAAATATCTATAGACATTTCATTTAATATATTTATATAAATTATAAAATATTATATATTTAATTTCTATTAATTCTCTTCTGTTTCTCTTTAATTTCAAGAGTTTGCAATTTTCATTTTAATGTTCGTCCGAGTATTGCATATGAACCCGATCTCGACGATTTAGCGAACAATGCTGTATGTACTGGAAGAGTGAGCGCAGAAAGATAAAATAGAATAGTTCCGCCAGGAAAACTACACTGAACCCAAACATCAGGCTCATAATGCCTCCAGTTAAAGCTAAGACAGAAAATATATCGCAATATTAATTTATAGTATAACAGATTCTTAAGATCCAGCTCTACTCACACATGTATTCCGTGAGGCCCGTGTAGGAGGATCTCACATGGCTGCGAAAGTAATTGTCGGCGTGATAGAAGTTAACGATCGCCAAGTTCTCAACAATGTAATCCGTTGAGAAGTTTTTCAAGAAATCGCCCTGAGAACTAACGCTCTCTTGCCGGAAAGGAATGATGGGTATGCTGAACGCATTGGGAAAGTACGTGACATCGTGACAGCCAGTCAGACAGAGCTCCTTGCACTCCATGCTCTCGCCGTCCGCACTCCCGAGCTCCGCCCGATTCACGCAATCGAAGTGGGCGACATGGCAAACGGTGGCATTGCGATAGATCAGGGGCAGGTAATAGGGTATGCAGTCGCAGAGCCTCAAGAAATAGGTCGCATCACACTCTGCCTCGCAGTTGCGCCGTGTGTAGTACTTGTAGAAGAGGAGCTTCTGCTCATCACTGAAAATGCATTGTCGGGTCGTGGGATCGATTTGGCGTATGGATGGGACAGCTTCATAGCTATTCGGCACGATGCGATAGTTGGTTTCGTGACCTATCATGATGGGTAGACCAGATTCCTTCAAGCGCGGCTGGTCGATGGAGTTGTATAGGAGTACCTAGGGAATGAGAGAGTTCCTTAGAATTAAGCAATTAGTTTATAAAAATATAAGTTTTATAATGGAGCATTAAAATTTTAAAGGATCAAATAAGTCTGATTACCCTGATCATGACTAATATTTAACTAATACGCTCATCTCAATTCTGTTAAGATATACGATGTTCTTATGTAGTATTGATTATAATAAAAATCCAAACCTTAAATCCTTGTCCATTGGTTGAGGAGCAATAATACTCGTCTGTAAGCCCATTTAACACGATTTGTAAACCATTATAAACGCCCACGCCAAGACCTGGACGTGGATAATACCCAGCAGGTAAATATTTAGGATAGCCCGTGATGGGACTCCAATCTACAGCAATATCCGAAAGACCCTTAGAGGATGTGTAATCGCGGAGTGTAGAGTCACTGAATAAAGCTAAATTATTATTATCTCAATTTAAAGAACATTTCAAATAAATTATTTGACTTTAAAATGACTTGTTTTACAATATAAAATGTAATAAATAATATATTAGTAAAAATAAATTATTATTATTAACAGAATATTAATAATTTATAAATATCAACAACATTTATTGAACAAACAAATTTATGAAAAAAAAAAAAAATGCACAAAATAAAAATAATGAATAAAATTAAAACAATAAATATATGCACACATATATACAAAGTACTTCAAATTCAGATAATAAAGTTAAACATAATATGAAAAGTATTTATTATAAACATTTAAAATATAAATAAATAAATAATTAAATTAAAATAATAATAGAAAATAATAATTAAATTCAAATAATAAATTAAAGCATTATTTAAAAAGTATTTATTTATAAATATAAATATACTTATAGTCAAAAATAAAAACTTAAGTAAAAATCATTTTGATTTAATATAAATATTCACAAAATTAATTATTCTGTGCTTATTCCAAAATGTTTGGTTCACGTCATTTCCCACCTGTGCTTGTATATATAATACGGATGTAGAAAATTGAAGACGCAGCAGAGGCCTTCGTCCACGTAGATCTCCCGGAATAGATCCGAGCAGGGCAGACTCTGCTCGCCAAATTTGCAGGAGACCATCATCTCATCGCACTTGTGCGAGATATTGAAAATGAAGTTGGCAAACGAGTTGCGCTTGAGGCGCGGCCTGAACGACCTGAAGCGAGTGTAGTTGAATTCCTGGTTGCACGCCTTCTGCAGCATCGCGTGCTCCAGCGAACCACTAAGGGAACGTGAGTATTCAATTTCCAGATATCTATGGGAGCTACGCACCTTTCAAATGTGGACACTATGGAGCTCTTGGCCTTGTTCATGCTGCACACAGTTATCGCTGGGAAGGGTATGCTCTGTATCGCCGTGACCGTTGGGCTAATGCCAATGATCACTGGTGTGCTCTGCCACTTGTGGAACACGTTCACGGCCAGGTTGATGGCCACATAGACAGCCACTATGAACACCTTGACAAAGTAGAGCTGCACCCAGCCGGGCAGCTCTTTGTTCCACACATATTTCAAGCCCTGCAAGGATGTGTTCCGCAGAAATTCCTTCGACCTCCGCTCGAAGCCTTGCCACAAGAATTTCAACAGTTTTCGTAACCACATTTTCGACGAATCGCAGACAAATCTCTGCTACCGGCTTAGTTGCCTCCTTATATAGGTGAGCAATACGTTTAAAGTGATTTTACTAATTGATTTGCTTTTTCTTTTGTAAGTATTAAATTGACGTCTAATTATACAGTTCTTAATGGCTTTTAGGCATAGATTGAAGAATAAAGCTCAATAGTGTACCGTACGTTAAGTGATTGAGTTTGTATCATTCGCGTTGGACTAGTCTGTGTTTAATTACTACAATTAATAGCTGTACATACACTAGAACTTCTATTACTCAACTTTATACTAGGCTTATATTGGCTAAAATATAATCTATTCATATATATATATATATATATATATATATATATATATATATATATGTACAAAACTATGTATAATTCTATACAAATTGTTTAAAGCAAAGAGAACATAATTTTAAATTTGAATCAAATTAATTTTTTTAAATGCTTAAGTTTTTCAAGATTTGTTTCTTTATATTTGAAATTTTTGAGAAGTAAAATTCGAAAATAATGCCTATACCCTATCCTCATATGAGATATATGTATAATATATTTGTAGTTCTTCACTCAATAGGGTTTAGGGATAACATTGAAGGGAGACAAAATATATGCATGAGCTATAAAAATGGCTGAAATTTAAGTAAATTTTGTTAATAACTATAATTCGCTTCAGTTAGTAGAGCTTCTATTCAAGCTCGTATATAAGTTTTTATGTAAAAAGAAAAAAAATGGCAATAATATATATCATATACATAATATAAATATTAAATGACTCGTATTGGTCTTGGCCTAAAAATATATTGAATTAAATTAATATTTATTGCCCTATTATGTCTTTCAATTATATTATATTCCCGTATATTCACCTTGCAGTTATTTTTTACACTCTGAATTCGTGGCATTTCAACTGGGCTATATAATATTTATATACAGTAATGGAACTACCCCAATGACTCACTCTAAAATTAATTTAAAAAATAGATTGCAATTGATTTCTTATTAACAGTTTTTCATTATAGCTATATGCTATAAACCCCTCGCAAACCAATATAATAACTCATAAGACTTTCCTTATCTTCCCCATAGTTTTACCTGATTGAGCAAATATATAATATATACAGTTATACATCCACATTTTACAGAATTTTTTAAAATTGCATTTATTCAGACATACATATTTTATGTTAAATATATATGTATATATATACGCTTGTGTATGTGTGTGTATATGGTATGTTAAGAGTTTGCAGTGCCTCTGATTGCAGATTGCCCCTCGGTCTAACTTACAGAACTAATAAACAACGGAAAACATGCAGGCAGGCGGGGAATGGGGGAATGGAACTGGGTCTAACTTTTAGCGTTTAGCGGACTGATAAGGTATTTCTATATAAATATCTATATAGCTCTAACTGTACAAGGCCCGGGGCAAAGCTGATAAACGTGTGTTAAGCAAACACAGGCTAAAACATACAGAATGGGACAGAAACATACAAACAAAAATACTTGTACGCTGCACTGGGCAAAAGATTTTGGGTCGGGCCGCAGGAATGCATGAAGATTAAGTTTGGTCGCCCTTTAGCGACCGTTCCAGTAGCCAACGCGTCCGTTCTCAAAGGCCAAATTGATGCGCGGATGGGGCAGCGCCTTGCCCGGCTGCAGTGGCTCTCGCAGCTGGGCGGGCGTAGACGGATCGTCCTCGAACAGCAGGCACTGACGCACAAACTCCAGGAACAGCTGCTGCGCCTGCTGCACCGCTGCGGGCAGCGCTTGCAGATTGGCATCGCTGCTCAGCTGGCGTACGAGCTGTTCGCAGATGCGCGTGTTCGTGTCCACATCGAAGAGCGGCACACCGAAGTTCACATCCAACAGCGTCCACTCCTCGGTGTTTGGCTCCGGCTCGGCAGCCGCATCCCCAATGGGCATTTCCACAGAGCTCTGCGAGAGCAGATCGCCACGACTGCTGCTGCATTTCGCCAGCTCGCTGGCCAGCAGCTGGGTGCAGTCCGCCGAGGTGTATTCGTTTGCTGGCCCATGCTCGGGCGTCGTGGCGAAGTGGTTCTCGTCGGGACTCTTCAGCTGAAAGCTTGTCAGCTGATCATTTGGCACACTGTTTGACTTGCTGGCGGGGGCGACGGCGGCGCCCTGCGTCTGACGCTTGCGCTGCGGCAGCTTCAGCTTCACCGGCAGCTCGTACTCCTCGCAGCCCAGATCGGGCACGCCCGTATTCAGAAATGTTATGTAGCCGCATTGGTGACGCAAATCCAAAAGGCTGGCCAGCTTTTGCACAGCTCGATGTGTGGCCCACTTGGCCTGACCCGCATCGGTGGCCTGGAATGGAAACGATTCGTAATGCAGCTCGCCAGTCGTACGTATGCCATAGCCCTGCAGCAGGA